ATATATATATATATATATATATTCAGTAGAGGTATACACATAGACGTACGGGCGTTTGGTTTATTACGTGCATGTCGACGGGTCGGTTTGCTGCGGGAGCCGCGGGCCGCAGCATCAAGCAAAAGGTGCAGTCCAACCGCGGTGCCCCGTACAACGCTCGCTTCTTTAACTCCCTCTGGACGTACCGCTGCGGGCAGCTCACAACGAGCAACGTGCGCCGTCTCAAGGAGACAGGGATTCCGTTAGAGTACGCCTCCAGCAGCAGCAAGAGCGGCGGCGGTGTCAACGAAGACGAGCAGGATGCCACACCTGTTAAGAGTGATCTGCAACCCCACGCGCTGCACAAGTTCATGGGCGACGACAATTGGTCCCTCCTTGTCGCGGTGCCGAAGAACTCGGACCACTTCCGCAATGTGGTGGAGTGCTCGCGCGGGAGTCTCATGGTTGGCCACACCGACCCGCAGCTGTTCCATTGGTTCAAGCAGCTCGGCACCCTTCCACCACGCGCGATTCTCTCCGGCCCGCTGGAGCTGCTGTCGGGCGACATGCAGCAGGAGGCGTGGGAGCGCACGTTCGTGCGGCACCCTGTGATCCACAGCATCGCGCAGGACATGTGGACCCGCTGCGAGAGTAAGACGGAGGAGGAGAAGGTCACGATCGAGCGGCGCGAGCGCGAGGAGGACGAGAGGCGCATGCGCCGCATGAGCAGCAGCGACTGGCGCGCGAAGTTTCGCGAGCGCGAGCGCAACCCGACGGCGGAGGAGGACGAGGAGCGGCCGGTGTACGTCGTGAAGCCGGACACCTTTGCGCTGCTGCGGCTGCGGCCGGAGGTGATGCTGTGGATGAACGTCGCCTCGGAGACGCAGCGCGTGTGGGAGCCGGTGATTGCCGACCCCGACCCGCTCTGCCGCTGCGCCCCACGCTTCCTCCGCATGCTCAATCTCGCGAGGCAGAAACTCGTGCCGTCGCTCAACATGAACTTCTCCCTGAAACTCACCAACGCGTTCGTGTTCGAGATAGACGCGAGGGGGCTGTGGGCAATGGGGACGCAGGAGAACCTCGACCCCGGCGCCGCCGCGCGGGAGGAGTGGACAGAGCTGCGGCTCGAGTTCGGCAAGGGGCAGGTAATCCAGACGGAGCAGGAGATGGAGTGGTGGGTGCGTGGGCTCACGAAACTCGGCGCGCCGGAGATGTCGCAGTCGAACAGCAGCGTCGAGGACGCTGGCATGAACCCAGAGGACTATGATTACCGCCACATATGAGACAGATGAAAGCAAATTNTCGAACAGCAGCGTCGAGGACGCTGGCATGAACCCAGAGGACTATGATTACCGCCACATATGAGACAGATGAAAGCAAATTGGTTTGAATTGTGTGTGTGGAGGGTGTATAGGGCGCGGTTTTTGCGCGTGCAGGAGCGTGGGGATTCTGCTGCGGCCCGTTTGCTCCATTGGCCACACACACACACACACACACACACACACACACCAGAGAAAGAAAGAGAACGTGGCATGCGATTTTGATTTTGATGATGATGATGACAATGGTGATGATCATGGTGGCTCCTCCCGTTGAGTGTCTAGCACAACTGGAAGAAGCGGCAGCAGCAGCAGCGGCCGCGACGGCAAGAGCAAGTGAACGATGCACTTTGTCAGCAGGAGTAATGGTAGCTGTGCCCTTTTCTTCGCTCACCTCTTCATTGCCTAATATGGAATCAATACCCCCCCCCCCCCCCCCCCNCCCCAGAACAAGTGAACGTGAAGGATATGAGATGAAGGTGACACGACGTAGTGCTCGCAGGCGCGTTTTTCTGACCGCCTGCTTTGTGCTGGTTGCACTCCTCATGTTGTGCAACGCGTACCTGTGGTGGACCGGCGGTTGCGGCGCCAGCAACAGAACCGCTGATGACAACGACGCCCCACCACCTCGCGGGGAAGTCGTGCTGCAGATTGTGTTGCGCGTGCCGTCGCCAGTGTTTGCGCCGAGGCACGTCGGGCAGGAGCTCCTCCGCGAGTACGAGCATGAGCAGGAGAAGGAGCGGGTGCAGAACCAAACGCAGAAAGCGAACAACGATAGCCCCATCACGCCGGAGGATATTGCGCGGGCGCAGCGGAACGTCGTCACGATGCTCCCCTCTGCGGGGGACGGCGGTGGCGCCCACCGCGACTCGTTCCCGCTGCGGCCGGTCAGCAGCGAGCAGCTGCAGCAGGTGGGTGAGGCTCTTATGGCGCACGTGGCGACCTTCATCATCGCCGCCACACACGACGCGGCGCCTGTTATTGTTGACTACGGTTGTCGTATCGGGGCGCTACTCGCGCGGCGCCACACTCAAAGCACTGTGTTATGCGTCTACGACCCACGCGACGTGGCGCTGCGTCTGCCGCCTGGGGACGAGTCACTGCCGCAGAACCTCATTCGCGTCGTTGCACGGGATGGATTCCTCAGTGGTTTTGCACCATTCTTTACCTCTTGCAACTTCGTGGGCGTGTCGACCGTTTTTCTGCCGCTAGCGCCGTCAGTGGAGGGGACGAAGCAAGGCAACGAGAGCGATGTGCTGCTTCAACTCGTAGCACGTGCTGTGCAGGGCAGCGGCGCTGTGCTGGCGGTGCTGCCACTGGCGGCGTGTGACGAGCTGCTGTGGTGGCTCCGTCGTGTGCCACCATCACCTGCCGAGTTCAATGCAGATGTGCTGCGTGGCCTGCAGCTTGGGTCCGAAGTGCGCTGCGAGGTTGTGGCCGACTTTGTTGAGCGGAGCGACCCCGACGATCACCAGAAGAGCAGCAGCAGCAAGGCACCGCTGCGCCTGTTCCAGCTCACTGTGAGGCACTCGACGCGTGTGTGCCGCAAGACGTGGGGCGCGCCGCTGGTGCAGTGGGACCGTGCCGTTCTGTGCGTGTACAACTGCGGGCGTGTGCGCTACTCCGTGCTCGACCTCGCCGCCGCCCGCGGGGCCACCGCACC